ATATATATACAGTATTTCTTCTACTTATTTTCTTTTTGCACTTTTAGGTTTTTCTTTTATTTCTCTCTTTTTCTTTTTTGTCGTTTTATTTTAGTTTGTATTAATTCTTATTGTTGTTAAAACTTTCAATAAATTACGTATATTTAAAAAATGGAAACAAGTTCCTCCTTTGTTAAAGCCTGGAATGAGGGATAAATTCTTTCTGCCATTACTCCAAAGGTAGTAGTTGGGACATGACTAGCTGCCAAAGCAATATATATTTAAACGGTTGTGCCCTGTCAATACGTTTTGTTGTACAAGATAATTGCCTGACCTTTGGCCACAATGGCACCTGCAGTCAGTAATCACAATAAAAAAGTAAATTGAGATAGGAATACAGTAGAGAGATTTTCCAAGTAAATCGTTCAGATACAATTCATCTGAAATTGACTCAAAGCAAGCTGAACCAAAACTCTGCAATACTCTTCCTGGTCTAGAATTAATTACTGATCAATACCTATAAATTCTGTATTGACTCTTATGTCTTCTAAGCATGCAGTTTCCCCTCTCCTCCTGCACTACCTGAATCCCTTCTATGTGTTTGGATCTGACGAAATAATTATTAATCAGAATAGAGCTGGAAGGAATTTTGGAAGTCGTCTAGTCCAACCCCAAGCGGGAGACGCTATATTGGGGTATCAAACTCGATTTCATTGAGGGCCTTATCAGGATTGTGTTTGACCTCGAACACCGGGCAGACATGGCCAAGGTGGGCATGGACAACTCAACATCATTTGTGTCAGGGGCACCTGAAGGGTCTTCCTGTAGTGCTCTGCCAGCAAAAACACGCTGCCCTCACGCGGTCCGTTTTTGCTGGCAGAGGCATCACAGGCTAGTCCTTCACTGTTTCCAGGGCAGCCCCATGGGCCATATCTAAGCACCCCATATCTAAGCACCCCATGTAGCTCACAGGCTTTGAGTTTGACACCCCTGCCCTATACCATTTGAGACATGTGGCTGTCCAGTTTCTTCTTAAAAATCTCCAGTGATAAAGCACCTACAACTTCTGACGGCAAATAATTGACAAATTATTTTGTCAATAAATATGTATGTCATTGGCAGAGAAATACCATTACATTTTACTCAATATAGTAGTCCTCAACTTACAACCAGTCACTTAGTGACTATTCAAAGTTATGACTCCCAAAAAAGCACTTATAACCCAGATTCAAAATTCTGATGGCTGCACCGTTCTCTGCAGTTATGTGGTTTCATTTTAGGCACTCAACAACCAGCCTACGTTTAACACTGTTCGTGTTAACCTGTTACGTGACTGCAATTTACAACATTTTTGCCAGAAACCCGCATTTCCTTCCAGTTTCTGGCAAAAAAAAATGCCTATTGCAGAGAACAATTTCACTTAACAACTATGGTGATTGCATTATAATCTCCATGTTTGCTTTACAAGTGCTGTATTTGTTTAACAACCACCACAAAAAAGGTTGTAAGATCAGGCATAGTTAGGGAGTTCCCTCTTCCCTAAACTTGGAAGTCGAAACCGAGAAGGCTGGGTGGAGTTTCTAAGCGCTAGGGATGATGCGGGGCAAAGGGCGGGATGTCTCCATACCTGGTTGTAATGCAGATGCGCCAGCGATCCCGGGACCAAGAACTTGCTCTGTTTCTCCCGGGCGCCCAGATGCTGCAGCATCTGGCCCACCTGTTCGCTCGAGAGGCTCCGGTTCCCTCCGAAGACGGCGAAGAGATCCTGAGCGAAGGGGCCGCCGACCGACGGGGACCGCCGATCTTCTTGGGCGCCGGTAGAAACGAAGAGGCCAATGGCCAGAGCGGAGACGGCGGCCAAGAGCGTCCGAGCCACGAGGGGAGACATGATCGCCTGCGAGCGCGAAGAGAAGACGAGGCACGGAGCAGTTTTAAACCAACCAGTCGAAGAAGGCGCCGCGTCTTTGGAGCGGACGGCAAGCGGGAGTGAGCCTTCCTCGGGCCCTCAGACTTCGGCACTGCTGCAGGTGGAGGCCGTTTGCTTCCCTCCCTCTTGGGCAGGGACAAGGGCCCTTCCCCGGACGTTCCCCAAATCCTATCCCGGAAGGGTGTAGGTAGGAAAAGCTGGCTCAGCTGAAAAGATCTTCTTTTCAGTCCCGAGGATGACCCGTAGATCTTCCTGTAACAGGAGAGGGGAGAGACCAAGGGCAGAGAAAGTGTCAGAGGACTTCTTCACCCCAATCCTACAAGATCCCTTTCACATTCTGTTAATCAGTATCTATCTGCTGCCCATAAAGGGCACATTGGACTGCAGCTCCCTTGATCTCCGAATTGCTTGCCCAACCAGGAGGGCCATATTGTCAGGAGGTTATGAAGGACTGCATTGTTCTAATATATTATTATTAATACTATTATTGTTGTTGTTGTTTTTGTTGTTGTTGTTATTTTCCTCTGTTAATGCAGCCAAGGATTGCATTGGCTTTTTTGGCGGCGGCTGCAGCACACTGCTGGCTCATATTTAAGTGATTGTCCACTAGGGCTCCAAGAACCCTCTCACAGTCACTGCTATTGATTCAGGTACCTATACATTTGATTTTTCTTGCCTAAGTGCAAAATTTTCCTTTTTTTTCTACATTGAATTTCATATTGTTACATAGGGCGCAGCATTCAAGTCTGTTGAGATCCATCTGGATCATGGGTCTATCTTCTGGGTTTTTGGCTATTCCTGTCATGTACAAATTTAATGACTTCCCCTTCAATTTTCTCATCTAAATCGTTCATGAAGATGTTGACAAATACTGGGCCTAAATCATAACCTTGGGGTAACCTTGCTTACTTCCCTGTAGATGTAGTTCTATTACATCTGTAGATTAACTCTCTTTTTATTATAGTAGATTAACTTTCTTTCCATTAACTCTCTTTGTTGTTGTTATTTTTGTTATCTCTTTTATTCATTAAATATTAAACATTTTATTCATTAAACATCTCTTTTGTTCATTAAGTACAGTCAACTGAACATTTAAAATGTATCACAAATATAACAGAAATTATTACTATTATTATTATTATTATTATTATTATTATTATTATTATTATTATTATTATTATTATTATTATTATTATTATTATTATATCAATTTGAAATTCAGCACCGCCAGTAATAAAGGAAAAACTCATTTCCCAAATCGGGCCACAGTTCCATTTACTCAATAATGACTAGCACACCTATTTGAACTTCAGACATACTGTATTTCTTTCTTAACTGTCCGAGAAACTCAAACTGAAATCTGGCATATAAAGAAAAAGACTATTATTGAGCTATTTCCTATTGAGCTGGACTAAGATCACCTTCTGTTTGATAACAACGCTCTTCTGTTTTTCACTAGAGAGGGAATGTTTTTCTAGTTATATGCAGCTCAGATTTTCTCTCTCTTTAAACCAAAGATGACCCAGCTAAATAAACTTTGCTTGGTTCACGTATCACAATAATCCATGGTTTCGTTTATTTGTTTCTGTGAAAGTCATAATAATCTGGTTCACATCTAATGCTGCATCAAGGGTGAGCAACATTTGGCTACAGGTCTAAAGAGATCATTAGAATCTGATAGATGCCACAATGACATCAAGTCCATCACAAGAACATTGCACAATTAGTGATAATAATTGCATAATTAGTGCAAAGACAAACATATCACTGGTTCTCCTTGCCCCCTTCTCTCCTGCAGATAGCTGTGCCCAAGTCCCTTATTGTGGCAACAGTCTTCTCTGACCACATTGCCTGAAAAGCAGCTGTATGATTTTCTTCATTATGTGGCAAGAAATAGTCCAAACTGTAATTCAAGTACTACAGTAGGATTAACATGGTTCAAAGTCAAATATCAAAATTCTTCCCCACAATCCAATAAGCCTTAAAAACACTGGGTCCATCTATACAAATCCATACCAATTTTGGATGGATTAAGATATTGTGGTAAGCCAAAACTAAATGAATTATGTTGTAGCACAATTTATTTTTGAATTTATACTGAAGTTATTGTACAGAATTTTCCTCTCCCTGAAATTTATTTGGATTAAGAAAAGCCATAGTTGAGCATGATTGGATCAATCTTACTTTTTATATGAAGTATATCCAAGTTTAGGTTGCTAGGAAAGAGTGTTAGATCAGTAGAGCTTGTACAGAAGAATAGAACAATATTAGCAATATCAACCTAGCCTAGCATCTTTTTCCATTGTTGATGCCTCTCGGAAGCTCAGAAACAAGCATATTAGTAACAATATTTTTCTGTTTTCTTTCTTTTATTATTTGGTATGTAGAAATACCCATCCCTCAAACTCAGAGCTTCTTGGAACTCCAATTAGCTCCTGTGTCTAGAAGCTCCTGAGTAAACTATCTTCTTCTTTTTAAACAATAAGGACTAACTGTAGCTTCTTTTGCACATTCAGAATATATGGACAGATAACTCACAGTGTATCTTTGAAAGTTATGTGGATTATTAATTATTTTTAATTGTTTATCTGTTACTGAGATTTATATACCAGCCAATTCCCAAGATAATCTTACAAATATATTTCTTCTGAAAAATAAATAAATAAAAGAAAAAGAGAGGAAGGAAAGAAAGAAGGAAGGAAGGAAGAGGAGAGAAGGAAGGAAGGAGAAAGAGAGAAAGAAGAAACAGAAAGAAAGATAATAGGGGATGGATGGATGGATGGATGGATGGATGGATAGACAGACAGACAGATGATAGATAAATCACCCCATAACAATGGTTCTTAGCCATGACAGTCTCAAGGAAATAATTTTAGCAACAATAGTTACTTATTGCTCCAGGCCTTCTGGAACTCCCAGATCCTGGTTGTTTTCTTGAATGCTCACACTACCGGTTGTAAAAAAGGTGCTTTTTCAAAAGGCATCTGATCTTTGTTTTTCCTGGAAAACCAGGACCTAGATGACTGAGAATCTCCATAGACTTTCACACTACTGGTGTTAACTTCATCTGGCCCACTGTTTCAAAGGAGAGAGACAGTAACAGAAAAGGCACACTCTCATTGTCCACTGGAACGGTTTAAGAGCAGCATGAGATACCACAAACAGTAACTCCTGATTTAGCAGTAGTCATGACTAGTATACAAGATGGAGTTGTGCAAAGGGCCATCTAGTCTGCTCACCAAACAGAAGGTGTGAGTCCAAGGGCACCCCAAACTTAATGACATTTCTGTCCAAGCTAGCATAATCCCATCCATAAAAATGGAATATCATTGGTCTTGGATTCTAAATTCCCAGCCACTCTCTCTTCTCTGCATTTTAATGACCATGTATAAATCTGAGAGTTTCCTGCATCTCCACTTTGCTCATGTGTGGGTTTATCCTCCAGAAGCTTTCAACATACTTGCCAATGTAAAGTGTCGTCATTATAAGAAATTTGTTCGGGGTGGGGTAGGGAAGTGTATAGAAACTCAATTTCAAATTTACAAAGAAGAAATGTTTCTGTCTTCTATCTTCTGTCTCATCATCCATGATTATCTAAAACTTCCTATGCCTAAATTACTTTATAGTTTGCATTTTGAAAGCCTAGAGAATTTTCATCTTTTTTCTCATAGAAAAATGCTTCAACCCTATTTTAATTATTGCTTTTTGCACCTTTTTTAGATCTAAAATACCCTTTTTGTCAGGGAATAACTACAGCTTTTCATAAATTCAGATTTAAATAAAGGCATTGTTTCATTTTTGTCCTTGTTTGCTTGCTTGCTTGAAATACATACATGCCAATAGGATTATATAATAGCTTAGCCATTCCATCATCAGTGCCCTTATTAATACTGGTGTGTGATCACCTTTATCTTACTGTATTGCTTTTTTAATAACTGATGTTTTGTTTCATTTGTTTTACCTGTCTGATTTTATTTATATGAACTGCCAGGAGTCATTTGGGATTGCTGCAGCTTAGAAAATGCAACAAATGAATTGAAAACACAAGTAAACACAATAATCCTTAAGATGAAGATTTCATTTATTCTACCACCACCAGATTCTTTTGTAGTCTGTTCAAAGATGAGAAAGTCCCTTGAGTTTGTCACTCAAGGAAAAACAAAGCCAGAATAGCACCCAGTGCAAAAATCTCTTCAGGTTGACTTTTTTCTTTTAAGGAAAAGGAATCAGAGACATTTTAATTATTGTTGTTACTGCTAACTAAATCAGTATGTAGCTAAGCATTAACCTTATTTGAAAAAAAAAATGCAAAATGCAGTCATGGGCTGCAGAGGGAATGGGGCACAGCTTGGGCTTTGCAATTTCAGATGGTAAACAATAGTTTGCTGGAGCTTGGCTCTTGCTTTGAAATGTCAACATCTGAACATGAAATATGAAAGAATCTGCCAAGAAAACAGTGGGATCATCGGGCAGTTGCCTTTATCAACTTCCTGGGTAAATGATATAGATATTATTAGAGCATGAGTTTATAGAGTTATTTTTAACTTCCAGGTATGCCTACAGAGGATCTTTAAGATTGTCCAACATATCTATAGTGTTTTATTTATCCACATGAGAGATACTGGCAATAATTACACACAGAGCACAATCCACATGTTGAATGTCAGCATTCTAAAACTCTTCTAGAGTCTTTTGATCTTTTACCCAAAAGGCTCTGTCTCAACCCAATAAATATTATGTGTTCCTTAGTAAGAGACAATAAAAATGCTGTTTCTCAAGACAATCTCATTAAGTCTGTCTCTTTTTTTCCTAGCACAGTTTCTGGCCTTCAGGTATTGTAGAAATGCCTGCATAGAAATACCCCCACAGAAGTTTTATCTATATTGACATAGCCTCTGTATATATGTTTACTTTGTCATGTTCTCATCATATGCTAAATAAATAATAAAATTGTAGATCTTAACCAATAGTATTCAAAAATCAAAGGAGTCTGGAAGCACCTTTCCAGACTAACATATTTTATAGAAATGCATAAGCTTTCAAGAGCCACTGCTCAC